CACCGTAGCCTCCCCCTCCATATCCTCCTTTTCCTCCGCCACCACCGTAGCCTCCTCCTCCATATCCTCCACCACCATATCCTCCTCCACCATAGCCTCCTTTTCCACCACCACCGCCGCCGCCGTAGCCACCACCACCATAGCCTCCTTTTCCACCACCACCGCCATATCCTCCGCCGCCGTAGCCACCACCACCATAGCCTCCACCTCCATAACCTCCTTTTCCACCACCACCACCATATCCTCCGCCACCGTAGCCACCACCACCATAGCCTCCACCTCCTTTTCCTCCACCTCCTCCACCGTAACCCCCACCGCCATATCCTCCACCTCCTTTTCCTCCACCTCCTCCACCGTAACCCCCACCGCCATATCCTCCTTTACCTCCCCCACCACCATAGCCTCCTCCTCCATAACCTCCACCGCCATATCCTGTTTCAGAAGGAATTAGGTCATATTTGTCGTCATTTCTAAGGATTTCAGCTTTTACATTTTCAGTCCGAGATAATGTGAAGACAGCAAGAACAACAGCCAGGTACTGCAGAGTCATCTTGAAGAAGAAAAAATAACATTAGGAAATATAATTTTTTTAGATATTTGAATTTAAGATTATTAGGTTGATTTGAGTGACATAATTGAAGACTCTTAAACTACTGAGGAAAAAAAAGATCACATATTGTAGTATAAATATCCACATCAATTGTTTTTAAGGCACTCGACTCGCAATCTGTGGGTCGCGGATTCGAATCCCCGTCCCACCAAACATTCTCGCCCTTTCAGCCGTGTGGGCGTTATAAGGTGACGGTCAATCCCACTATTCATTGGTAAAAGAGTAACCCAAGAGTTGGCGGTGGGTGGTGATGACTAACTGCCTTCTCTCTAGTCTTTCACTGCTAAATTAAAGATGGCTAGCGAAGATAGCCCTCGTGTAGCTTTGCGCGAAATTCCAAACCAACCAAACCAACTGGTTTTAAATTACACTTCCTTATTCATAATTGTTTTTATCTTCTTGTATGTAAATATTAATAACATTAAAATAAAGTTCTATCATCATTCCCTATAAGATGCGTAGGTTAATTAATATACATTTTTGAGCACTCACTTAACGAAATAATTAAAGATATCTTACTATCACGGACGATTAACATTTATTTATCTATTTGTCTACGCATTTATTGACAGTCAGTTTGAATTATGTATAATAGCTACATCGTTAGTAAGATAATTCTCTTATTAGTTTCAGAAATAAAATTTTAAATGTGTTGTCTAGTTCGACTCAGTATTTGTTTCAAACTACCCTGCTGTAGGCCTAACACTCCCCTGCGTAAGAAAGCTATAATCTTCTAGTAAGAATAAAATTTATCGTTAGGATACTAATACATTATTTTTATCAGTTGAAATGTTTCCAATATGAAAATTCGTATATATATATATATATATGTTCTTATTTGACGTTCCATCTTTAAATTGTTCATAATATATTAGATTTTAAAATACACAAGTAAAGTCTCGTCAGTTACGATCAACTAATGATATGAACCATTTAAATGTATCAAACAGTTGATTATGTGTAGCCATGAGATGCTAATGATGTACCAATATCAAAACAGTTTTAAAAACTTAAACCTGTCTAATGAATATTATTTCTGGAAAATATATAAAGTCTATAAATCTTATCATCTCTCTTAGTAAAGATCATGGCATCTCAGTCTATAAATCTTATCATCTCTCTTAGTAAAGATCATGACATCTTAGTCTATAAATCTTATCATTTCTCTTAGTAAAGATCATGACATCTCAGTCTATAGATCTTATCATCTCTCTTAGTAAAGATCATGACATCTCAGTCTATAAATCTTATCATCTCTCTTAGTAAAGATCATGACATCTCAGTCTATAAATCTTATCATCTCTCTTAGTAAAGATCATGACATCTTAGTCTATAGATCTTATCATCTCTCTTAGTAAAGATCATAACATCTCAGTCTATAAATCTTATCATCTCTCTTAGTAAAGATCATGACATCTCAATTTTGATGAAGCAGACACTCATCTTAAAATATCTAATCATTAAAACTTTTATAAATCCGTTATTTCAATTCTAGATCCTTCAAACTCACCATTCTTTTTTTGGCTCTCATCTTTTTCCTTTATGCGTGATTAACTCTTTAACGTCTTTTATACTTCAATTTAGTAATCAAATACCTAGGATCTGAACTGACTTCTCAACTAGTTAAAGAAGCCTTTATATGTCGAAATGAATTCTGCTAGACTAGAGCTGAAACATCATTATATATAGCTGGCGAGGATGTAGTCACATGACGCACAGTAACACTCTAACAATGACACCAGTGCCCCACTTACAATGTTTCTGCTCCCGCTAGAATCTCATCAAAAGAGCTTCACGCAAAAAGAAAAAAGAAATATTTACACCTCGATTCAGTTGGTTGATTGTTCAAAGTGCATCGAACTCATTGGAAAGCAGATACTTTGAAGTTTTGGATAGTAGTTTCTGGTTGAAATTTCTCAGTAAATTTGTTTCTAGACGGACACACACTTCCTACACGGTAAATCAGAGCTAAGCTAACTATATTTCAAAAGATAATCACATGAATGTTTGATAGGAACAAAATGATAAGCTAATCGGCAGGTTAGCAAGATTTAACAAAGCAATGAAATACCGAATAACCAAAACTAGATATTTATTAGTGTATGGTAAGTCAAACAACCCAGATTAATGACAGACATTGTCAGCATTAATTAATTGTTGGAGGTGTTCGACAGCATTAATTAATTATTGGAGGTGTTCGACAGCCTTTTACATAATATAACATCATTAATTTCATCATGTATGAAAAAATCAATGTTTAATGGTCATTTCAGGACAACTTGTTTTCGGTGCACAATACTGTTCAAATGTTTGTGTTTTCCAATGACATGGTCTTTAACTGAGATTTTGGGCAACTTACAAGAACGGGTAGGAAATGTACCATATGTTTGTGATCATTAATCTACTAGAACAATGTTTTGGAAATGAACATTAAGTTGACTGGTACAGTATTTATCCTAATGAACATTATGAACATTAAGTTGACTGGTACAGTATTCATCCTAATGTTTCTGAGGATTTTACTACGAAATTATTAATCAATACAGTATCTAATAATGATTGGATGATGCAGTTGATGACAGAACCTTGTCGAAACGTTGTACATTTGCTGTTTTGTTAAACTTATATTAAAGTTTTTCTTCATTACCCATTCAAGCCGTCTCCAAGCATTATTAGTCTCAAAGTGGGTTCCTCGTCATCGAATTTGAATTCAATACTGTATTTGAATTAAAAACCAAAATAAACAATATTAAGTTAACTGATCAAATAATTTTCTATTGAATAATATAAACACTCTTAACTTGACTGATTAAGTCATCATCCTATTGGGCAATATAAATACTATTAAACTGGCTGGATAAGTCATCTCCCAATGCAGAGAACCGTTAATTTGACTTCTTAAATTATCATCTTCATCCTATCGAGCACTAATGACGCTTTTAGGTTGACTGAAGAAATCGTCATCTTATTAAGAAGTGTAAGCGAAATTAAGTTGACTGGTACAGTATTCATCCTAATGAACATTGTGAACATTAAGTTGACTGGTACAGTATTCATCCTAATGAACATTGTGAACATTAAGTTGACTAGTACAGTATTCATCCTAATGAACATTGTGAACATTAAGTTGACTGGTACAGTATTCATCCTAATGAACATTGGATCATTGGAAGGATGACTCAATCAGTCAATTTAATATTGTTTATGGTACTCAATAGGAGGTTTAATCAATCAGCTTAATATTGTTTATGTTGATCATTGGAAGGATGACTCAATCGGTCAATTTAATATTGCTTATGGTACTCAATAGGAGGTTTAATCAATCAGCTTAATATTATTTATGTTGCTCATTAGGATGATATTTCAATGTGTTACCTTGATTTTTATTTGCTCATACACAATTATCTTTTATCGTTAGTGATGGATTTTTTTTTATACAATTCGGTTTACTAAGTATGCTATTCAATCTCATTTGGCTTACATTTATTCTTAAACTAGATTTGTAAATGTCTTGGCATTGACTTAAATATCGGCCTCGCATGCTATGGTTGTTAGGATGATCGACTCGCAACCTGTGTGTCGCGGGTTCGAATCCCGTTACTAAACGTGCTCTTCCTTATCAGCCGTGGAGTGCATTATAATGTAACAAACAATCACACTATTCGGTTAGAGTAGCTCAAGCTGCCTTCCATCACTTCTAAATCAGGGACGGCTAGCGTAGCTAGACCTCGAGTAGCCTTGCGCGAAAAATGTAAAATCGGTAACTAAGAGTACGAGTTATTCGCATTATTTAACAGCAGGAAATCACTTCACAGGTGTAGTTGTACTTTTCTTACCAATGTAAATAATTAGAAGTAGCTTATAGCATGTGCTTAGGAATGTCACATGTATAGAGTTTGTACTAAATCCCAGATTGTGTCTGTCATTACCTTAGAGGTAATCTAAGTAATGCATTCCCTCAACTTTCATTAAGTATTATTAAGGATAAAAGGAAAGATACTGAAGTTTAAGGAACGATTACATTATATTTAAAGCTTTTGTGACTTACAGTGATATGATTTGGCGGCTTTTGTTTTTACCCTTTAATTGCTTATAATTTTGGATTCATGGCAGAAAAACTTAAGAATGCTGTGCCATTAAGGTTTCTATTACAATTTATTGCAGGGACCTTTGTCAGAGAGCACTTATCTAATCCATAGAAGTAGAATATCTTTTATCAAGCGCTCGAAATGGGACAAATAATCCGGGTGGTCCCTAGCGAACCCCCTGATTAAAGATATTAAGGATACCGACCATTTCGTACGATTTTTTTCTTTTATGTGGGTATATTTACGTTACCAAGTGTAGCGCATACAATGCTAATGACGGAGTACACTTCGAATATTTCTAATATCAGGCTTATTCGGCGATCACATAAATGTAGCTTAATCACGAACAAAGGTTTGTTGTGTTATCTGTCGTTTCGTTTCCTTTATTTGATGGATTAAGAAATGTTTGTTGTGTTATCTGTCGTTTCGTTTCCCTTAATTGATGGATTAAGAAATGTTTGTTGTGTTATCTGTCGTTTCGTTCCCTTAATTGATGGATTAAGAAATGTTTGTTGTGTTACCTGTCGTTTCGTTTCCCTTAATTGATGGATTCACTATAAGCCATCTTGTTTTTAGATATGATAAAGTCAAATACGAGTTTTCTTGTGAATGTCTATACCTTCCATATCGTGTAATTCGAATATAAATTACTGTATTTAAAAACAATTAAAAGACCTTTATTTGATTTTAACTCTAAATGAAGTTTTATTTCGTATTGATAATTATCAAGGCTATCTGACAGTGTGTTCCAATTTTAAATTACTGACTAAAAGGAGGTCAGCCAGTCAGCAGCACCCTATCACCCAACTTCTATGCTAAGGGATTGACTATTATTCTTATATTGCACCCACAGCTTAAATCGTGGAAAATGTTTGTGTTTAATGGTACGTATTTGAAACCGGCTTGCCAACTCCAAAATCCAGAGTTCTACCACAGGACAAACACTTGCCCCCCCTTCCCATAGTAAAACAGAAGTTTTTGACGAACATAGCATAAATATGAATGTTTTCACCTTCATAAATATTTGAACATTAAATTTACTTACTGCAAACGTCGAAGTGTACGAAAATTCAACGTCATTTGTTTTTTTGGGACATTAGCTCGAAATTCATGATTAAGTGTTCAATTCAGGTACATAGGAAGGATTTCTGTATTTATGTACATTCAAATCCTGATAATTATTATAAAAATGTTAGTTTCTAAAAATACTGATTTTGTAATGAAGTTTTTCTAAAAAGGTGATGGGAAAATGCTCTAAAGATATCTATCAATTTCTATATATATATGTATACAGTGACGGCGTTTGTCTCGGGGTGATCCCATGCGAAGCTCGTTTTTTTTTTGGTGGGGAGCATTATCCCCTATACACTTACCTCTAAACTACGGTACGGTATCCTTACATTCAAACAGGGCAACAATTCCACTGTGTATTGATAATTGAACGTAGTGCATTTTAGTAGGGTAACCGAAAATAATAACAAACTTACATATACAGTTAGAATGTTAGAAAGTTCTTTCGTTAGTTATAGAAATAAAAACGAGTGAAAAGAGAAGGAAAATCACGTTAGGAACAAGAGATGGAGAACTATGTTCTCAAGGGACGATAATATAAGCCTATATTCAGGGATGAACAAATATATTCTTTTATAGAAATCGATAGGTGCTTCCTAGGATAATTCTGCTAATAGTACTTTCAGGGTTTATTTCAATTTCTTACCAGGTTGATTAAACAAGCTAAGTAACGGATCCACGACAGCAGACGGTAACTGCATGTGCCTAGAACTGCTAGAGTGTGCGAGTGTATTGCAGCTGTGTAACTGCAACACATAGAATATCATAAGAGGAGATTATGTCAACCTTTTTCACACAAAACAAAAACACTTCAGATAGAATAATAAATCGGTTTTGTCGCAAATTCCCTAAAGAGGATGCAATCAGTCAGCAGCACCCACCGTCTACGGGATTAATTTTAATAGAATAGCAGGATTAATTGTCACTTTTATATCGCGTCCACAGTTAAAAGGTTAAAGCATGTTCAGCGACATATAGTAGGCTTGAATCCTAGACCTCCGGATCAACCATTTCCGCCATTTTTGACTACTCATGGTTTTATAAATGGTTGATTTTATCCTGGTCATACATAATTATCACATTCTTGAATTAGATTACTTGAAAAGGTTTGAAAAATTGTATGAGCCTATGATAAGATCTAAGTGCATAAAACACGTTTACATAAGTCTATATATATGTGTGTGTGTGCGTGAAAACTGATTTATACACGAGTTATTAGAAACGAAAGTCATATCATGCCAAAAGTGTTTGCAAGGAATTAAACTCAAATTTCTATACCTTGTTAAATTTAGAGTACCACACAATAGCTTGGAAAAAAACCTGGTAATTAAAGAAAAACTTTTCTTTAAATTTTATTTTCAGAAAATTTCCCAGCAGTACATAATTGTATAACAGTCGAATATCTCCTAGCAACAGGCAGCAAACCGATATAAATTGGTTACTGTGGTAATGGCCTAATACAGTTCATCTCACATTATATGGGACAAAGTA